GACTAGCTGGTTGCTCTTTCATTTCAGCTAATCAAGCTCACTGTATGCTTTCAGAATGTCTGTCTAATGAAAGGGATGCGAGTCTTTAACCCTGACTGTCTATTGAGGTCAGACCTGTGTACATGCCCAAAAACCCCCCTGGGAATATGAGCAGAAGGGAGAGAATAAAAGTGGTCAGTGACTGAAAGCTGAGGTGTACTCTTCTACACTAGTTGTATTAGATAAAGCCTGAGAAACCCTAGGATATCTGTGGAGTCTTCAGTTTCCTGTATTCATCTAATTTATATTTCTGCTTAGTTTTCTTGTAACTGGTCATGACCCGAACAAGAGGATCAAAAAAACTTGGAGTCATTTTAGTTTTCTATTTTACATTGGAGCAAAGATGACTTCTAAGCCATGTCTTCTATTTCCCTAGCAGCTACAGAATAAGTGTTGAGCTACTGACAGTTTTCTCAAGTTGAAAAAGTGGTGACTGGAGTTCCTGGGAACCATCAGTTTGGTCCTGAGGGCCTGATTCATAGACTATTTAAGCATCTCTAAGAGTGTCTTGGGGCACAGATTTATAAACAAGAGCAAGTGGTATTTCCAGACACACATCCATGTTAACTTCAATCTGCATTTTCTTCAAAGGCCATAAATGTCTCATTAGCCTCAAATTACACTCCTCTGCCAATAACAAAATCATCGTATGTGATTGTATCTGATTTCAGAGCTTCCTTGACTTCTCTGTGTCGTGTGCTGCCAGAAGTTGTTGTTTTGAACTGAATATTCTGACTTGGATTGATTATTTTTGATTGTTTGGGTGAGTGATACTTCCAACTAAGAATTTTTTGCAAGCAGTTTGTATGCAATTTTCTAACATTTGAAGCAGTAAATAAAAATATGGAAAAAGTACAACACAATTAGTGATAATAAATAAAGGTATGACAAGTACATGTCTTCCTGTAGACTCAGTATGTAAAGGCATATGAAATAGCTGACTGTATACATGTAATTGAGCATCAAACTAGTTTTGATATATCTAAAAACGTTTCTAGAATGTTTACAGCTTTCAATTTACGATTAGTCCCTAATTGAAATCTGTGACTCTCTATTTACATCTTCCAACTTTTCAATGATGTATCTAACATCATATCATAGTCATCACAGTTCACAAATTAATAGGCAGCATGCCTTCTTCCTTACCTCTCAATATTACTGAAAATTATTTTCTGTGTCTGTATGAGTGTGTATACATTTCACATGTGAAACTAACCTTAGGAAAATGGTAATTCCTCTAGTAATGTCAATAAACTGAAAGGTGTGATATTTTCTGCCTAATTGTGATATTGCCTAATCAAGATATTTTTGCTTTCCTTGCCTCAGTCTGGGGTCTTTGCCTCATTATAATAGCAAAACCAGTTGTCCTCAGGATGCACAGCTCCCAGAGCTGGAAGCTGGGGAACTATGGAGAGCTGAGTAAAGCCCCTTTAATCCAGGAGGAAATGGTTAGTGACGTGCTAATTATAGCAAATTAGACACACACAAGTCTATGAGCTCAGATGGGATACACCTGAGGAAGCTGGTGAAAGAGTTTGTCAGACCTCTTTAAACCACTTACCAGCAGTCCTGCTTAACTGGAGAAGGTCAGGTTGATGGAAAATTAGGAAATGCAATGCCCATCCACAACCCGGGTCAGAAGGATGACCCAGGGAACTACACACCTGTCAGCCTGACCTTGATATTGGCGAAAGTCACGGAACAGATCATCCTGAGTGCCATCATGTGCTGTGTGCAGATCAGCCAGTGAGTCAGACCCAGATGATACTCACAAATGGGTTTACGAAAAGTAGATCCTGTTTGACTAACTTGATCTCTGTGTTATAAAGTAACCTGGCTGGTGGATGAGGGAAAAGCTGTGGATTTTGTCTATCCAGACTTCAGTAAAGCACTGGATACTGTCTGCCGCATTCTCCTGAGGAAACTGGCTGTTCATGGCTTCGATGTGTGCAGTCTTTGCTGGGTAAAAAACTGGCAGGATAGTCAGGCCCAGATAGTGGTGCTGAATGGAGTTAAATCCAGTTGGCAGCCGGTCAGCAGTGGTGTTCCCTAGGGCTCAGAATTGGGGCCAGTTTAATGTCTCTGTTGATGATTTGGATGAGGGGATTGCATGCATCCTCAGTAAGTTCACAGATTACACTAAATTGGATGGGAGTATTGATCTGCTGGAACATAGGAAGGCTCTGCAAAAGGCACTTGACAGGCTGGATTGACTGAGACCAGTTCTCTGAGGATCGATAAGGCCAAGGGTCAGGTCCTGCAGTTGGGTTGCAAAAACCCTGTGCAATGCTCCAGGCTTGGGGAACAGTGTCTTGAGAACTGCTCAGCTGAAGGGGACTTGGGGGTGCTGTTTGAAAGCTGGCTGGATATGAGCCAGCATGTATCCAGATGGCCAAGAAAGCCATACTATTTAGTACATCACATTTTTTTACAATTGCGTATTCTCTCTGCTGTATCAGCTGAGGATTTCCTTCATGTTGTCATTTTTGGTTCTTTCCCTGCTGGAATTGTGTTCACTCTTGTTTATTTATCATTCCTATTTTCTTTTCTTATTTTGTTTCCTTCTTTTTTGCTTGCTGTTTGCCCAGAAATTTTTTTTCTCTATCCATCTTTCATCATCTGGATCACTGTGTTTCCTTCCATCTTGTCAATTTTCTTAGTGCTGCATTCCACATTTCTTAGAATGTCGTTACAAACTTCTGCAGAGTGGTGTCAAGAGAATAAGATGTGTTGCTCCTCCCTAAGCACAGATTAAATCCTCAGCTGGATATAACTGGAAAACCTGATTTGTGCTGCATGATCAGTAAAGTGTGCCAAAATCAGGATGGGACAGAGCAAGAGGAATGCTACTCAAAATCAACCACCTGCTGTTGATTTCCATTCTTAAAGATGGTAGCAAAAATCCAAAGGGAAAGTGATGCTTGAGGAGGAATTTTGAGACCCATTGCTGGCTGACCACTCTGAGTGCCAGGGAGCAGCTGAAGTGGGGCTGTCCGTGGGCGAGGTTGAGGAGCTGTGGGCACTGCACAGCTGGCAGGGCAAGACTCTGAACTTCTAAGACTCCCCATTGAGGATGGGCTGAGAATGGGGACAGGACTCTGCTACCACCTAATAATTGTAAGGCCAGGCAGGTTGAGGTCTAAGGTCTACCTGGTCTAAGGTCCAAGGTCTACCTGGGGACCCAGTGAGGCCAAGATCCAGGCTGGGCATGGGGCTGGGCATAGGGCTTCCTGCAGATAGGGCTTCCTGCTGCATAATTCAGGGACTGACAGCCCTAGTGGTGCCCTTGGGGACATGAAAATTAGAGCTGTAATGATTTGTCCTTCAGAAATGGTGCTCAAATTGCAAGTCCTAAGAGAAAATGCCAGTAGAAATTTCAGTCCATCACACATAATAAATATCTGGTGTTTGTCCAGCCTCTGGTGTTCTGGTGTTTCAACAGTTTTGTGGTAAGAATGCTAAAATGAAATAATTGAAGAATTCCAGGAGTTTTGTGAGAATAAAATGCTGTTCAAATTATTTTCCATGTCTGAGTCCTGACTGAAAACAGGACCTGCTCATCCACTTATATATAATTTTGATATATACATGTGTGTTTGTCCTACCAAATATAAGGCATCAGTATCAGTTTCCTATAACAAGGAATTTTTTACCTGTGGAATTGTTTTACCTGTGGAATTGTTTGTGCTTCTGAGTTGAGTAATGGGTAGAAAGGAAGTCCCTAATTTCTTTGGGCAGGTAGAATGTTGATGTGTGTTTATTTGTACACTTGTAATGGTTAGCATATACATGTAGGTGATTTGCATTTCATTAATAATTTTCAGAATTATTGTATGAATTGCCTTCTATTTAAAAATAAAAGTAAGAGAATGCAAGCAGATAATGTGGCATAATTGTAGCACTATGTCAGCCAAAAGCTGACTTAAGAGATTGTAGCATGTTTTTTTTTTTCTTTTAGCTTTCCATTGTTCTGTCAGACATAGAAAAAAAAAATGAAAATCAATAAATTTGTATCTCATTTTGACTGTTCTCACACTTGATTTGAACTAATTATTTATTGCATCAGTTGAAATTTCTGAATTAGATGGAGGTAAATTAGGTTGACACACAGAAAAGAAGTCATGTCTGTGAAAAATATTCTGTAGTTGTCAACTCATAGCAAAAAGAGATGATCCAATACAGAAAACAAAAGTAATGAATGGTTCCTGTGGGAATGCAAATAGGCTTAAAAAGAAGATTCTGTTTATTTAGAGCAGAAAATATCCTCAAGCTAGCACTTGAATGTGATAGTCTTCCTGAAATCAGAAGTTTTTTGGCTGTGGTTTGGTTTGGAAGAATATAGAGAAGGAGAAATGTTTGTTTTGTGGAATAATCTTATGGCTTCAAGTTTAGCTCTCTTAACTTACATATCTTTGGAAACACATAGCTAACCATGATGTCTAAAGTTCATAAAACATTTGTGGGCCTTAGCATGGAAGCAGTATGCGAATATAATTTTTGGCGCTTTTTGTTTGTTTGTTTGTTTTTGTTTAAGGTTTATGCCAACATAAATTTGTCTGTTGATTTGAATTGTTTGTTTTCTCTTGGCTGCAGGCTGACTGGGTGGGCTGGACTTCACTGAAAGGAGCCACTTCACTGGGGCAGTGGAATAACTGTGGATCTCTCACCGCTCTACTTGTCAGGAAGTGCTGTGCATTGCCAGGATTAATTCAACACTGAAGTCTGGGATGGGCCTTAGGGGCAAACACTGCCTTGTTTCTTCTGACATTGGGATTTGTCTACAGCCAGTCAGCTGAGGCACCTACCACACATCAGCTTTTGTTTTTTTGTTTCCTGAACAAAGATACATTTTCCCTCACTTCATCTCCTTTTGACTACTTTTTTATTAGTTTTCATTTTCCTTGACTGAATAATTTCTCCTGGCTGTGGAAAAAAGAGCCCTGCTGATGTTGATTTAAATAATGTCGAAACCAATGGGACTCCTATGGCTGCCTTTGATCTTCACACCAGTGTGTGTCATGTTGAATTCTAACTTCCTCCTGTGGATAACTGCACTGGCTATAAGATTTACTCTCATTGATGGCCAAGCACAATACCCAGTTGTTACTACGAATTATGGCAAAATACGTGGTTTAAGAACACCTTTGCCTAATGAGATCCTTGGTCCAGTGGAGCAGTACTTGGGTGTTCCTTATGCTTCTCCTCCGACTGGAGAAAGGCGATTTCAGCCCCCGGAGCCACCGTCGTCTTGGACGGGTGTCCGTAACGCCACACAGTTTGCCGCTGTCTGCCCGCAGTACCTGGATGAGAGGTCACTGCTCAACGATATGCTGCCCGTCTGGTTTACAGCCAATCTGGATACTGTGGTGACATATGTTCAAGATCAAAATGAAGACTGTCTGTATTTGAATATCTATGTGCCCACAGAGGATGGTAAGTACCCTGAGACCCACACTGCAGTGTGCTCACCGGTTCAACATGTGAGGAGTGTCCAGGTCCTCAAAGCATCTTACTTGGATGAGTTTTATCCATGTTTTATCTGTGGAAATGGATAATGCCTCTGAATATGCATTATCAGTAATATTTTGTAGATTGAATATGCTTGTGTAGATTCTCTCTTACTTTTCAATGCAACACCAACCTGCAGTTTGATTGTGAATAATGGCCAGGGTATGTCAGTCATACATCTTACATCGCCTTAAGCTTACATCTAAAAGTCAGAATCATTCACAGAGAGGAAATGGGAAATAAACATTAACCTGAAATAATATAGTCATTTTTCCATGCATGAATGGTACAAATATACTATTACATGCTAATTTTTAAAGGAGAATTTACCTATTTTTAAAATTTATTTTATTATAAAATTTCTGGCTCTACTGTTAACTCTGGTTGATTTTAATAGATAATAGAAAATTATTGCAGTAATTCTGTCAGCAGGGGCTTTTTTAGTATTTTTGTCTGTGAAACTTTTCAGTCCAGATTATTTTTCTTCATTCACTAAATTTAAAATGAAGTCAAGGTGATTTATTATGCAGATTTGAAGAGGTGGTTTTAAACTTTCATCTGCTTTGTGCAATACTTTCTCAAGAGAGCTACTTTAAGCCACTTTCTATAGACAAAAAGGATGAAGACAATTGGTAATACAGAATTCTTTGAACATTTACATGATCTCAATCTTAAAAATTGTAGCTGCATGGCATGATGAATGTATCTTCAGTTGTTTTGAATAGCATTGCTTCCTACAGGCAAGAAAACCTGTTTTCATCAGTCCCCAAACAAGCCAAGTCTATTATTTCACAAGGAAATAAAAGTAGTACTAGCACTTATATTTAATATTCCACCAAAAGCTAGTGCTTTGTGCTAATTAGAATGCAGTTACGGATGTATAACATGACAGATTTCTCCCAGATATGCAAATCCCTTCACTTTTGCTGAGGGTTTGATTTACACAACCAAGGCATTGTTATTTCTCAGTAACCATACTCTAAATATGCAAATTTTCTACTTTGATTTTTATAATCCTTCTGCCTTGATTGGCTTCTTTACTCAGAATTTCCAAGCTGTCTGCCAGCAATAAACATACCACCTTCTTTTCCTGTTGAAAAAAAGCTGAAGCAAAAACTTGAAATCTAAAGGGGTAAAGTTTGGGAATACTGGGAGCTTTGCAAAGGTGCTTAAAAAAAAAGTGCTGTGAAAGGAAAGCTGTGTTTATGGGGGCTCTGTGTGCACGAGTGTGTGTGCATGTGTGTGTGAGTGTGCCCGTGTGTGTAGACAAAGGAGCAGGTCTTTACAACTCAGTTCTTTTCCTCTTCCAGGCTCATTGGACTCCTTCTTATTCCTTGGATAATGACATAGATAATGTTTTTCCCAAATTTGTTTATGTTCTGGATTTTAGCCTTCATCTTTTAATTAGTCACTGGGGTAAGCTTGCCCTGAGAAAGCATTCTGGGTTAAGATTTTATTTGTTCTCACTGAAGGAACATCAGCTCTGCTAACTCGGTCTTATTTTAGAATCCAGTCTTAATAAATAATATGTTCCTCCAAACTAATAATAAGAAGTTTAATTTATTAATTAGGGGATACAAGAAGTTAGACATGGGAATATCTAGGAAAAGAATATTTAATATCAAATGAAAAACAGTAAAATATTGTGGGCTGAATGACTAGCAACCTATAACACTCATCTTGCTATAATAGCTAATGACATTTGCTGTTAGATTTAAAATAGAAAGGAATGATAAATTTAATTTCACATTCTGTAGACCATTTTGTCAACTTACTTTTGCAAAAAAGCATGGTTTGGTCTTCGTGATTTTAGATTTTCTTTAAATAGCATGTAAATGGTATCGAGTTGCTTTTATATCTCCTGTTGAAAATATAAACACATGCATAAAAATATGTAGCTGAATAATGAGAAGACAAGGTTTTTGTTAGTGATGAGCTGAAGGTAAGGTTGCTCCTCTACAGTATGAAAAGCATTTTCAAAAGACTCCATTGGGAAACAAGGAGCTTAGGAATGAATAAATTAAGTACACAATGTTGTAATTGTATGATGTATATTTTATCACTAATTAATAAATCTCAGAGGCTTTTTTGATGAGAAATATATGTGATCTTCTGATAATAAAGATTCTTAACGGGAACTGACCTACAAATCAGATGCTCTAAGTTAGTGTGTCTCCAAATCACTCTAAACAGTCCTAAATAGTAGTGGATACAATCTGATTAAAGATGTTATGCTTCATTATATGAGTCCTACTTGGCAAAAATAATCTACGTTGTTATGGAAACAGACCATGAAATTAGTTTTTGAAGCAAGATTTCAAAGTGAGTGACTTTGAATTAAATTCACATTTTCAATTCTTTCTTCAGTATAGATTGATTTAAAAGAGCTTTGAAACTGTTTTCTAGAAGAAAAGCTGGCTGGAATAATCCAAACCGAATAAATGCTCTGATTATGAAACTTTGAATATTTTTTTTTCCTTTTTTTTTTTTTTAAACTTTGGCGAAAAGAATGGACCAACAACTAATGAATTAACTGCAGTCATTTGCAGTGCTTACTTCAAAGCAATTCTAGTGAATAACTAATCAAAATGAAGCTCAGGTTTTGGGATTTTTTTCATTGTTTTGTTTTGTTGCAGTTCTTTTTCAGTATCTAACATTACCTGTTTCTTACTATTTTTGTGGTTTGGCCAAAGAGAACCAAATTTTGGTCATGTACTTTCAATAAAGGGTTGCCTATTAAATGCACATATCTCCCCATCTTATTTCAGGATTGCTTTACTGGAATCCTTCCAAAATAAAATAATGGGAATAATAGTAGAATACAGTCACTTCAACTAGGTAGATAAGTTTAGTTAGTTGTAATATAAGAGTTTGAAATGTTACTGCTTTTGTCTGAAGAAGTACCAGGAAATTAAATAACATATAAATCTATAGTTCCTTAAATAGTTTGAGCTTCGAGGTTAAGAAATTAAAATAACGTGTTACATAGTCTGTGTCTGTGTTAATCATAGCTTTTCTTTAGACTCAGAAGATGCTGGATTTCAAATGTCAGATAACTGGAGAATCCTATTAGAATTTCGTTACAGTGTCCATTCCTTCTATTTCAGAGTATCTAAGGTAGCTGGAGATTTTCACTGTTTTCTTTTGCCTTTGGAAGGGAAAAAAAAATTGCAACCACTGTGATCCATTGAGATTTTTTATTTTTGGTCATAGGTATAAATAATATTGCAGTTATTTTAAAGACACACAATACAAGCAATAACAATAAAATCTAAAAAAATTATTTTATATGTCAAACCTATAGTAATACTAAATTACTCAGAACTGAAGCAAATAAAATATTTATAGTAAAACTATCATTTTATCCAGTTGCTTTCTAAACATTTGGCTTGATCTGCAGTATTATTTTTGTGGGTGTATATTGTCTAGGCTGCTTTTTCAGTTACTATGAACTGTAATTTTCCACAAGAATACTTGAATGTCAGTTTTGAGGAGGTCATCTAGGGAGATGATATTGAGGACAGTGTGTTTATTATAACTTCAGTCTGAATATGGGTTTATCTACAGTGGAAATGCTAGATTGAAGAGGACACAGACTGTTAATCGGCTGTGCTTAATCCCTGGCCTTTATCATTTGAATCTGTGGATTCTGAAGGAGATTGCTAACTCCTATCATAACTGGGGAAAAAAGGTATAACAAGAAAAAAAAACCCAAAAAACAGAAAAGACCCTTAATTTGTATTTCTTTCATTATAAACGTCAAAATTTTATTCATAGCAAAGCAAGATTTAAAAAAAAAATCAATACAGCTAAACAAAAAAGAACAAAACCCCATGAAAACAAAGAATTTTATGTCTGTCTAAAACCTGCTATGTTCAGATCAAAAGAGAAAATAATAAAGATTACTTTCTGTTGTCTTTGCTTGATAAATAGTAAGCATATATACTTATTGTGGCATATGGATAGAGTGTACATTTTACACTCTATATCTATGGAGCTCTTTATTCACTATGTATCTCTTACAGATTAACTAATGAAGTATTTAGCAACTTCTTGTTTCTTGCTTGTGAGCTCTTGATTCATTTACCTTACTTATTTTGGCATATGGATAGAGTGTACATTTTACACTCTATCTATGGAGCTCTTTATTCACTATGTATCTCTTACAGATTAACTAATGAAGTATTTAGCAACTTCTTGTTTCTTGCTTGTGAGCTCTTGATTCATTTACTTCAGAATAAATACAGCTGAAGTGACAACAAAAGGTGGGAGACCATGACACTTATTAAGACTGAATGGGTAGGTGATAATTTTTCATTAGATTATGGGAACTGAGGTTTGCCCAGGATTAGTGGTATATTTGACTGTGGGCTGCTGGGAAGAAACAAGTCTTGTGCAAAAGCAGAGATCAGCTGTATTCCTTCTCTGGATGGTGATTGACTAAATATACCTGCAGCTCTTGATTCTGTGTCTATTTGACTAAGAAATAACAAAATGAAAAATTTGAGCAAGGCTGATTGAGAAGACAAGCCTCAGACTGTCCCTTTTGCATATTATGAAATTATTGATGGCTGCTTAATATATAATTGAGTGTTTCCAGCTTTCTTCTTGCCATTGCTGTTGAATGCAATGTCTTTAACTTGGAAAAAGTGTTTTTATCATAATAATCCCAATAAAATGTAATTGATAATAATTGGGTTTTTTTTCCAATTTCTTTGAGGCAAAGAAAAAGGTAGTGTAAAGATTAGTCTCTTCATTTTGATGGCATAGAATAAAAAAGTAAGCTAATCAATGACCTCTTTGTTACTATGAGAAATAAGGGGTCCTACATAAAAATGGGGTCATATATAAAAATAGTGTCACAGTGAGCAAGATAGTTGCAATATGTACAACATAATTTTTGTTTAATTATTAGAAGGTGATGC